GAATCTTGCGCGACTGGAGTGTCGGGAGGGTAGTCGGCGGCAGTTTTTTTTGAGCGGTGGCCGAGGGCCGATTGGCAGCTGAAATGGAAGTAGGTTTGATCCCGGGGGGCAGGCGGGTCCCAGCCCGGTTCTTAGTGGGGTGGCGGAGCGCAGCGGCCACGCCCGCTGGTTCCTGACCTGACGCAAGTAATTCCCCGCAATACCAGGTGGGCTCTTTGCCCACACAAGGGAGAGTTTACTTTCTGGAGGGACACCCGTGTGTTCCTGTGGAGTTTTTAAGGTGTAGGGGCGGAGGGTTCTGGAGCAGGAAGTTTTGTTTGGGCTGTGCGTTCCTGGCGGGCTGCTGGGAGGAAGCGCACAGAGGCTTTATGCCTGGCTTGGAAGCCGCCTCTTGGCGCTTGCGATGCTCTCCTCCAGTTCCTGGTCCTGTCTGGGGTACAAGTAAGTCCCCCACATACAAACCGGAGCACGTTCGTTAAGTCCAGCATTAGCCTAGGTACCCAACTAACACAATTGGGTATATAGTACTGTAATGTAATAGGTTTATAATACTTTTCACATAAATAATACATAAGTACGATCGTGTCCGGCAACGGTGGGCGAGGTTCCCGGCGGAAGCCATTGGGAAGAGCAGGCGGCTGCCCGGGGGTGAATGGACGGAGAACCCTTGCTCCCGACCTGCGCCCCCTGCTGGCGTCGCCCTCAGCTCTGGGGGCGTCGGGGCACTGTCCCCTGATCCCGGCAAAAAAGGCTTGAGTCTCCCGCTTTCAGCCCTTCCTTGAGCCTCCTTGGGACTCACCCACAGCACTCCAAGTCGCCAGGAGTGTCTTTCGCTTTTTACAATCTCAGGAATGAATTCTTTTTGGTTTTTTCTTCCTTACAGGACTCCAAAGGCTAATTAAACTCGTGTTTATGGACTGAAATGCCTCCTTTCCTTTAATTCAGTATAATTCAGTATAAATATATATTGCACTCTTCAAGGCCAGGCAGAGTTCTGGGTGGTGGGAACATAGAGATGGATCTGAACTTGGTTTTTTTTCCCCACAGAGAAAAAATCACGGAGTGGTTGGGGAGACCCAGCAAAATTACCTGCAAAGTTAACTTGGATTCAAGGCAGCCTAGAAAAGGGTCTAGAATCAACAGTCTAGAACGGGAGGAGGCCGGTTGGGCCAGGTTGGGAAAGTGGTAACAGGTTACAGAGTAAATCAGTTATGTAAGAAACACTATGATTGAAATGACCTATTTCTCCTTTATATTCGGCTACTGCCACCTCCTCAAGAAAGACTTCACAACCCTCCATAGAGGAAGTAAGGATTCCCTTCCTCTATACTTTCCTATACTCAGGGGCTATCTTTGCACTTACCATAGGATTGCATTTAACACTCTGTATTGTAATATTTTTTCTCTTAAAAAATTTTCAGTCAAATTGTATTATAATTATCTGGGTTAAAATACATGCAAAGTAAATAGAGAAAGCCTGCAGGGGTCCATTCCCTAAGATAACCAAAAGTTGCAGTTTATTGTCTTTTCCAGACATTTATGCACTTAAATACAGTCTAAGTATTTTTTTTAAATATGTAGTTTGCTCTCTTTTATTTTTCTTATTTTGTATGATGCTATCAGTAATCATGGGGATGTCAGAGGACTGTCCTACTTGAGGAAAAACTACTTTAAATTTTAGGCACTTTTGAGTCCATACTACACACAGAGGACTGGCCTGGAGGTTTGGCAAAATGAAAACTCTCACCCATAAATCTTAGAGCTTTAGAACTTGTGATAAGTGCAAAGGATAAATTTTTAGCCAGATGTACTGGGGAGATGTACCTTTTGCTAAAAGGCCAGGGGATGTCTGGTGAGCTTGGCTGGAGACATTGTATTCTGTCTGTTCATGATGAGGTCCTGTCTGCTCCCAGGAAGCCCTGCATGGTGCGTCACCCAGCTCTTAAATAACAGCATTGTTACCCCCATAGAAGTGCAAAAACTTCCTTTCGCGAGCTTTGTCTCCTGGATCTAACAATCAGGTTCCAAGTACGGTTCTTACTCCACCACCAGCTCCATATTCATTGTAGATTATGAAAGGATGAGTAGGCATTACACAAGTACAGGCCTGCTGGAGCTCTGTAATGATGACCAGTCTGTTCAAGGCCTAGGAGGGTGAGCTTGGTGATTGTGGTCAGCACCCACCACAGCCTAATGCAGATGAGTGGGAGCTTACCATATATGATAGTACTCAAGAAGAAAGTAAAAACAGTGCTGTGAAGCAGGAGGAGATGACCTGATTTAGGAATCAAGACAACTTTAGGAAGAGATGCCTTAAAAGATGGTATAGAATTTCAATAGGCAGAGACTGAAAAGAGGGAAGGGGCTTTCCAACTGGAGGCAAGTGCTTGAGCAAAGATGTTGGGACAGAAAAACACTGTCCAGGGAACACTGAGATAAGTGTCTTGAATTAGATTATGGGTTGGGCAGAGGAGGGGAGGTACTCTGAGGTGCTTGGGCTCTGTATGAGAAGTTTGCCTTAGTGAAAATAACTTTGATTCAGGAGGAGTGGGCCACTGCATGAAATGGATTTCTCTAGTGGCTCTGCTCGTGTTTCTGTATCCAACTAGATGATTCATGATCTCCTTTCAATCTTGATCTTTTCTCCTTCTGGGGTTCTTTCATTCCTTCATTTTCTGCAGCCCGTATGCAGCTGTTACGAACCAGGGAAGTTATTTGAGGTAACGTTATGTTGAAATTTGTGGGAGTTTCCCTGAGAGTCATGGGGCTGAGCCTCATCAAAGAACTTTATGCCATTTTATAATTGGGATCATCTATAGTTTGTGGGCAATTTGGTATAATTGAAATGCAGTTCTTGGGAAGCCAAATGATTTTTTAATGCATACTTTTAGCTGTTGATACATTATGTATCAGTAGCTAAAAGTGTGCATTAAAATTATTAAATATTAAATTTAAAAAACAGAAAAATATTAAATTAAAAACTACACATTAAATCTCAAATTGGAATGTGTTTATGCTTCAGCCTCAGTACCTGGCCTTCTAGACTATGTTTCTGCAGCATTGCAGAAATCAGAACCCACATGATGATCTATTACTAAATACCTCATTTTAAATATTGGGGGAAAAGGGCACAAAGTGGCACTTTGTACACTATCTTAGGGTTAAAATGCCCACAGATGTAGTAAAGGTGGGTTCATTATTTTAGCTGCTCGAATTGCTACACACAGAGCCCACACCCACAGGTTCCGTACACGGATGGAGGAGGGGGAAGGTGGGTCCTGTTATGTTCAGGGATGCACTGAACTCCTATGAGGTGGTCACATTCTTTTTGCCCAGGATCATGTAACCCCTTCTCCTTTATCTTTTTAGAAACTTCTGGGTGACTCCCTCAGGGCCGTCAACTTCATATCTTAGTGGGGATTTCCAGACACCTGAACGTTCCAGGTTTGCATGCTGCTTTCTGCAGCTGGCAAGGCAGGCTTCTCCCCACTGTGGCTCAGTTTTGTAACGCTGCTGGGAAATTACATTTGCTTGCAGGCTGTGGCTCAGTGAACATGACCTTGCTTTCAGGCATGCCATGACCAGAGCAGTACAAAGAATGGAATATTAAGTATGTCTGTCCTTGGATAGGTTTAAGTATGATGGGAGCCAGTCATGCTGGCAGCTATCTACAGGGAGTGTTATGTGTTTTCAATACCAGATGGTTGGAGGCAAAGTTGACATTCTGTGAGAAAGGCTGAAAAGCCTGATTTAACCACATTTTACTGTCACCTGTTGGAGCTATGCTGGGTGCCACGGAGCTAGGTACACAATATGGTGGTGGAACAAAGAAGCTACTAACCAAGTCTGGATGAGTTCTTCCCAGGAAAGCTTTACACTTAGGAGACACTTCAGCTGGCCCTGCAAACCGAGTACGGTTTTGCCAGGCAGGTAAGTGGAAGCGAGTAATCCAGGCAAATGTGCAGAGGCGCGGGAAAGAACTCCTCGCTGAGGTTTGTTTGAATCCGAAAGCGCAAGGTGTGTGTTAATGAGAGATGAATGCAGATGCTAGACCAGGAGGGGCCTTGAATACAAAGAAAATCGGAACCTGCAGTGGGAGATGAGGAATCACTGAAAGGTCTGAATTTAGGAAAGTGATTCGGTTCAAGCAAGAGCTTCAGGAAGTTCATTCTGATAAGATCTGCTTGGAGAGGGTGAGGCCATAGGCAGAGGGAACAGAAAGACCAGGGTGAGAGATGGATGCTAGGGCACACCCTCATTTAAGAAGCAGGTGCAGGGGCTTCCCGGGTGGCGCAGTGGTTGAGAATCTGCCTGCCAATGCAGGGGACATGGGTTTGAGCCCTGGTCCGGGAAGATCCCACATGCTGCGGAGCAACTAAGCTCGTGAGCCACAACTACTGAGCCCGCGTGCCACAACTACTGAAGCCTGCGTGCCTAGAGCCTGTGCTCCGCAACGAGAGAAGCCACAGCAATGAGAAGCCCGCACACTGCAACAAAGAGTAGCCCCTGCTCACCACAACTAGAGAAAGCCCGCGTACAGCAACAAAGACCCAACACAGCCAAAAATAAATAAATAGGTAAATTTATTAAAAAAAAAAAAAAAAGAAGCAGGTGCAGAAAGGGTGCTGAGGAGTCAGGGAAGGTTAGAGGGGGACCGTGTAGAATATTGTGGTGTGAGATCAGCTAAGAGAGAAGAGTTTCAAGGAACAGGTCAGAATGCTTGGGTAAAAGAAGACTTCCATGTGACCTTGGATGTGGCCACTAGGAGGTCACCAAGGCCTCTAGAAGAACACTGTCAGGTGAGGACACTAGGGTGAGGAGAGTTAGGCACTCACCTCAGGCACAACATTTAAGGGGGTGGGAAAATCAAGATAAATAATATTTTAATTTAAAATTTTGAAAAAATTGACATGAATGCAAAAGACCTATGATGAACAAAATATCAAAATTTTAAATAAAGACAGTATCCACATTACTGATTCTTCCTTTGCCTCATTTTCCAATATGGCACTGAGTGTCGTTGTGTAAAACATGTGGGGCAGGGAGGATGCAGGTGGAGCCATATTGAGGAGGGAACTGAGAAGTTGAAGGAGCTGAAGTACACATTACAGTCTGCCTTTCTGAAATCCTAGCTTAACATGAAAGAAAGAGAGTGAAAGGCTGGTTGGTCTAGGGGATCTCAGGCTGAAGGGGTTTTTTGTTTTCTTTATTTTTAAGATGGAAGAGACTGAACATGTTTACAAGCTGAGGGGAGGAGTCCCTGAAGGTGGAGAGAGGTTGATGAAAGGGTAAGCGCAGGGGCTTATGGAGACAGGAGGGCGCAGGGGAAGTGGATGGCCCTGGAGGACGAGGGACAGCAGGGGAAGGTAGCGGGCTGCCGGAGCTCACTTTTTTTTTTTTTTTTTCCTTCGGTATGCGGGCCTCTCACTGTTGTGGCCTCTGCCGCCGCGGAGCACAGGCTCCAGACGTGCAGGCTCAGCGGCCCTGGCTCACGGGCCCAGCCACTCTGCGGCATGTGGGATCTTCCCGGACCGGGGCACGAACCCGCGTCCCCTGCATCGGCAGGCGGTCTCTCAACCACTGCGCCACCAGGGAAGCCCCCGGAGCTCACTCTTGATTAGTGGCAAGCTCATCGATGAAAAGTGGCCCCAGTGCGTGGTGTTAGGATGGAAGAAAGCTGTGAGAGGGTGTTGAAAGGAGCTGACCGCAGTCCTGGAATAGCATGCCGAGCAGCAGTAAGGGGCCAGCTGAGGTTGAAGACTACAAGCTTGTGGGGTGATCTTTCCCCTCCGTTCAGCACGACTTCTCCTCTAGATGTATGAGTGGTGGAGGCTCACCATCTGAGGATGGGATGTGGAGGTGATCATCCCAGTTTGCCCGGGACTGAGGAGTTTCCTGGAACACGGGACTTTCAGTGCTCAAACTGGAAAGTTCTGGCACACCAAGGTGTTGCAGAGCTGGCAGTCAGGCGGCAAAAGGGCAAAAAAGAATTGAGGTGCTGGCCAGAAGAGGGTTTGTAGCACATGCTCTAGGTCCCATCTGGGGAGCAAAGGAAGTGAGGCCGTCACCTGGTAGCGACTTACAGAACTCCATTTATTCGTTCATTCAAATACTCATTGAGTGCTTACTAGGAGTCAGGCACTGGGGTCTGTGCAGAGGATCTAACCACAAAGAGGATAAAAATATTCTCATGGAATATCCTTCTCTGGTGGCTAAGGTCAGTTGGTGCCCAGGACCCACTCCCACTTCTGTCTAGAGGGTAGCAAACTACAAACTGCCTTTCCCAGACTCCTTTACAACCAGGATGTGAATTAAGGTGCATTTGGGCAAGATTTGTAAACAAGTGGGGTAGAGGCCAATAGCTGGCTGCTTTTGTTCAATTCTCTGCTGGCAAGCATGGTGGTGGTGACGTGGGGATTTGGGCAGCAGCATTATGAAGTCCAGTCACCCGCTTTGGAGGAGTGGAGGCAGATGGGGTGGCAGTTGGCCCTCTGATCTCGGGGTCACTGCCCGAGGTGTTCTTGAGCTCTGTGCTACCAGTGATGGCCTCCTGCTTCCTCGCTGCCTTGGCTGAGACAAGATCTTTCTGGGAGCCCTGGGAATCTTTCTCAGAAGCTCACTCAAGGGCCCATTTCTCCAGCCCTTACAGCAGTTTTGTAAGCGCCTATTTCAATGTATTTCTACTCAAAATAACTGAAGTGGTTTCTGCTTCTAGCACCTGACACCCTTTCCATTAGCCAGTGGAAATGAACCCTGGTGACTTACATCTGCTTTGTTTGGTGTTTTCAGTGATCGCTGGCAACTGCTAGAGAAATGAAACTGGAACTGCTCTGGCTGTGAAGGTGGGGGACAGTTTGTACCATTGTGGAAATTCTGTGGGGGTGGAAAAGGAGAGACAGTCATTAATTACAATTTGCCAGTGAGGGGGTACAAGAACAGGGGAATTCCTTAAACATTCTAAACACATACAGCTGCTGGTTTCCCCCAGTTAGGGAAGACAGTGGGAGTGAAAGGACACTAACAGAAATAGTGATCAATCTGGAGGACTGGGTGTTTGAAAGCAGGAAAGAGAAAGAATTGGGCTTGGACAGCTCCTTTGTCCCTTTGAGTGAGGTGAAGCCCTTGACTTCAGAGGAGGTGTGTGGTGTTGAACTAGGAAGTTCAGGTAGAATGAGGCTGGTAAGTGGTGGGCACTATCCTTTCACCAAACTCTAAAGAACTTATTCTACCTGCCATCCCCCTCCCCACTCCTTCTACCCTATCTTTTGAACCATGTTAAGTAAAATCTGACTTGTTCTTTTTGATGATAACTTTGGGATGCCTCTAGCCTTTCTTGTTCTAAGGATTGTCTATATATACATCAAAAAAGCTCTAAAAGCATTTTGAATGCTGTGAGATAGTTTCTATATGGCATACTCCAGTTGTTTTTTTTTATGTAGTACTTGTTAACTGGACTGTAAATGCTGAGTGCAGAAGAGAGAGAGAGAAATGCCTTTTTCAGGTCAAAAACTTACCGGGTTTCCTTTTGGCTAGTTATCGTTTTCTAATTTTATTGTACTGTGGTCAGAAAATGTGGTCAGAGGTATATTTATTTTACTATCTATATACCTGTTGCCGAGTTTATGAAGTAAAATGTTACAAATTCAGTCATTTCCCCTTTGTATTTTTATCTAGTCACATTCTGTTAATCCCTTTTAATGTTTTCAGTATACACAAACACACACACATATCCCTAAACAATATATGGTGTTATTATTAACATTTAGGACCTTAATGTAAATTAATTATATGGTATGCATGCTTTAACAACTTTTTGCCTTAGCAAAAATATTTGTTTTGTTGTTTGGTTTTTTGTTTGTTTGTGAGATTCATTCATGGTTTTTCATTTTCAGGGCTGTATAGTGTTTCATCAAAGGACTGTGACATTTTATTCAGTCTCTTCTTGGTAGACTTTTAAGTGGTTTCCATTATTTTGCTATACCATCTATTGCTGCTTGGAACATTATGTACATGTCTTGGTATATCTGTCTAAGAGTTTTAAAAGGATATTCACTTAGGAATCAAATTTTCATGTCATGGAGTAATGAGTGCTTTCATCTTTACCAGGTATTGCCAAATATTCTTCAAAGTGGCTATGGCAGTTTATAATTCCTCCAGCAATGTAAAAGGTTTCATATTTCACTGTATTTTCTCTGACATTTGGTAACAGATAATAGCATTTGGCCAATGTGAAATAATATCTCACTGTAGTTTAAATTTGCATTTCTCTGAATACTGTTTTGGTTTGAATATCTTTTCATATGGTTTATGGCTGTTTGGAGCTTTCTTTTTTTCTGGGAACTGCCTATTGCCTATTCTTCCCTTGAGTTGCTTGTCTTACGCTTATTGATTTGCAGAAATGCTTTCTACATTGTGGATACTAGTTCTTTGTTAATTAAATATGATGCGTTTGTCTTCTGAGTCTGCTCTTTATCTTTTTTTCATTTTTAAAAGGATGTATGCTTTTTATGTCTTACATATTCATTTTTGTAATTGTAGGTTATAATAATATTCTTGGAGAATCTCTTCTAGAAATTTTATGTCCAGGACTTTAGTACATGTGGAACTGACTTGTAAATGGTGTGAGGAAAGGATCCCAGTTTATCCTCTCTATATGTATGGATACCCAGTTGTCTCAGCACTATTTCTGGACATTAATGTCCTTTCCCTGTTGATTTACAGGACCACCCTAGACATCTGTGTGTGGATTAATTCCTGAGCTCTCATCTGTGTATTAGTTGTTTTATTATCTATTCCTTGTCATATTACTATACATTTGTATTAAATCTTGATATCTGCTAAGGCAACTTCCTCCAACTGGTTGTTCTTAAAGCTTATACTGGTTATTCTTGACCTTTCTCCTTCATATCAGTTCAAAATTAGCTTGCCACAGTCCATGGCAAAAGTTTTTGGATTTGGATTTTTGATTGGGCTTAAATTTATAAATTCATTTGAGAATTGATATCTTGATGATACTGAGTCTTCTGTCCATGATTATGGTACATTTCTTCAATTATCTGTCTTAACTGAAGTCTTCAATAAAGTTTTATAATTTCTTCTTTAATGTCTCACGTATCTTTTGTTAGATTTATTCTGTATACCTTACAGGTTTTGTTGCTGTTGTAAATAGTATCATTTTTTCTTTGAAATATACATTTTCTTCCTGTTTTTTGCTAATGTACAGAGATGTAATTGACTTTTATTTATTAATCATATATCTCAAAACCTTAACCTCTTATGAATTCTAACATTTTGTCTGTTGGTATTCTTGGGTTTCCTATCCGAGTAGAAAATCTTATTGCATGTGAAGAATGATAATTGCTTCTTTGGTTCCGATGCTTATACTCTAACTAACCTTTTTTTCTTATTTTAGTGCTAAGCTCTGTCCTCTAGTACAATGTTGAATAGAAGGGATGATCATACATATACTTGTCTTGAGCCTCATTTTTAAAGGAATGCTTCTAACGTGTCACCATTAAGTATAATATTTGCAGTGGACTTTTCTCTTTTTCTCATAATTACTATTGAACTGTGTATAGATTGCTGCCTCATAAGTCCCTTGCTTTTAATCCATAGAGCATCGTTTTTAGAGAACTCATGTCTTTATTATATTGAATCTCCCTATTCATGAGCAAGGTAAAGCTCTCCATTTATCTAGATCTTTATTAATGTCTTTCCAATAATATTTTATAGTTTTTTTCCTGTTAATGTCTTGCATATCTTTGTTAGAATAATTCCTACATGTTTTAATGCTATTGTATATGGCAAATCTTAAAGAACCAGCACTGTGGTTTTGAGTTGTTTTTTCTTTTTGCCCTCCTACAAGTTTACTTACTTTCTTAAATGCTCAACTATATATTTGAGCAAATGTTTTTTATGTTTTATTTAGCATTTCAGTGTGTATTATAGGCATTTTTCTTTTTCAGATTGTCTCATGCAGCGTTTCTCAATTTTGGCACTATTGCCTTTTAGGGTTGGATAATTCTTTGTTGAGGGGAATATGCATTGTGTAATGTTCAGCAGCATCCCTAGCTTCTATTCTCTAGATGCCAGTAGCACCACCTGGTTATGATGACCAAAAATATCTCAAATTTAACCAAAAATTGTCAAATGTCCCCTGAGGGGCAAAATTGCCCCTGATTAAGAACCATTGATTTGGCCTGTCACATTTCAGAAATTGCCCTTATCTTCTTGAAATTTTTTTTTAATTTATTTTTTTGGTGGCATTGGGTCTTTGTTGCCGCGCGTGGGCTTTCTCTAGCTGCGGCAAGCGGGGGCTACTCTTCGTTGTGGTGCACGGGCTTCTCACTGTGGTGATTTCTTTTGTTGGGAGCATGGGCTCTAGGTGTGTGGGCTTCAGTAGTTGTGGCACACGGGCTCAGTAGTTGTGGCTCACAGGCTCTAGAGCGCAGGCTCAGTTGTTGTGGCGCACGGGCTCAGTTGCTCCGCAGCATGTGGGATCTTCCTGGACCAGGGATTGAACCCGTGTCCTGTGTATTGGCAGGCGTATTCTTAACCACTGTGCCACCAGAGAAGTCCCTTGAAACTTTTAAGATGCTTATTTTAAACTCTTTCAGGTGTAGGTTCCTAGGATGTGAGTTTTGTTTTGTCTGCTGTCGTGGTGATTTTTATGTTTATGCATGGTGATTTTTAATCATGAGCTTACCTCCAGCAGAATAGATGTTTCATATCCCCTGGGTTGGGAAGTTGACCTTATAGGGTGGTTTGGAGTTTGCCTCTCAAGACCTTATGGGCTTGACTTCTAGTAAAAATATTGCAAGGCTTTTATAAAGGATATAACTTATATTACTGGAACCATAACAGATAATAAAATAAAGCTATAAACAAAATTATGAATAAAATGTATGTAATGAAGACATATACTTACATGATGGTTATATGTAAATTATATATTTTAAATCTTTTTGTATTGTTTTTGCAATATTTATTTTTTGCTATTTATGGTGTCTGAATTGTTAAAAGCACCTCAAAAAAAATTTTGTATTCAAAAAAAAAAAGACCCTATGGCCTTCCTTAGTCTGAGAGTAATTTTTATGTTAATTTCTTGGTTTGGGCTTGAAAGAAACCCCAACAAAGTAGTGATTATTTGGACTGTAACCCTACTTCTTCCTTTCATGCTCCCCTCTCTCAAGTGCCTATCACCTCTAGTCCCAATTAACTGTCCCCAACACCACCCCAACATATAAGCACTGGTATTTTGCTGCATCTGGTTGGCCTGGGTCAGCACAGGATCTGTAGTTTTCCTTTTGATATTTTCTTTGACTATGCCAGATGCTACCACCGAGTAATTTGGATTTTACTGCCAAACTATACCTTTGTTAGTACAGAGGGAAGACAGCATGCCTGTTCTCTTGCTGATGGTGTGTGACTGGCAGAAGGCAGCCTTGGGTGTAATGGCTGGAGGAAATGAACTGAGCAGATGATATATTTGGCTCTCACTGTTGTGGCCTCTCCCAGCCACTCTGCGGCATGTGGGATCTTCCCGGACTGGGGCACGAACCCGTGTCCCCTGCATCAGCAGGCGGACTCAACCACTGAGCCACCAGGGAAGCCCGATAATATTTTTTAAAACATTATCTAATTTTGTTAACTCTTGATGGCATGATTATATCACTGATAATTATGAATTACAAAAGTTTGTTACTGTTTTTAAAAAGAGGGAATTGAACATTTCATTTCTAGTAGCTCTGGTTCTATTTCAGGTATGTTTGATGAATGTAGATAACGTCTCATTTCTTCTTGTGTTTACTTATTTTATACTTTCTAGTGTGTATAAATATTTTACAGGTTAATTTATAATAACAGCAACTAACAAAATTGTGACTTTTAGTGAATAGAAAAAGAACTTGACCTTCTTTTATGGAAACTAGTGGTTAGGTTAAAGTCCTGTTAGCCTGTGAGTGGAGTACAGATTTTGGCTCTGCGGAACACATAAAATTAGTATTGAGCTTTCAGATTAAAAACATAATAATAAAGTAGTCTGAGTACCAGTTTTTCTACTTTCAGTAAGCAATCATTTATTAAGTTTCATTTCTCCAGTTATTTAGAATGGCCGTGTTTAAGTGAGGCTTGGATGAATGAGCATGGGATTGGCATAGACACGCCAATACTTTTTAACAAGTCTACATTAACTAAAATGTCTGTTTTTATTAAGAACTCACCCATTTAGACTATTGGGGGGAAGGCCAGTGTGAAAGGTATGAATGAATGGATTTATTTTAAAGTCAAATATTTAAAATTTTTAAAAACCAAAATTTAAAATAAATGTAATTTTGTTAATTTCAGACACTAAAGTACTCACTAATATTTTCATTGATGGGGAACTCTGGGACTCTAGGGAAATTATGCTTCCTCTAAGAATCTTTGAATTTTTCTTTTTCTTCTTCTTTTTTTTTTTGCGGTACGCAGGCCTCTCACTGTTGTGGTCTCTCCCATTGCGGAGCACAGTCTTCGGACACGCAGGCTCAGCGGCCATGCCTCACAGGCCCAGCCGCTCCACGGCATGTGGGATTCTCCCGGACCGGGGCAGGAACCCGTGTCCCCTGCCTCGGCAGGCGGACTCTCAACCACTGCGCCACCAGGGAAGCCCAATTTTTCTTATTTTTGACAGCAAGAGCTGTTTAACATCCCCTTTTTCCCTTTCTGCTTTGACTGCCAGGAAGCTCGGGACAAATTCAAGGTCTACTAAAATCTGTTTAGGTCTTTCTGGCCTGCATATTTGCATTGTATTCTTTATCCCTCCATCTCATTTTGACTTTCTACCTAATATTTTTCCCCCTTGTTCTCATATAAATTTTTTTCTACTTACATGTTTTTATTGTAAGATGCCTCATCTTTTGTGAACTGAGATTGTATATAAATATATAAAATAGATTCAGTGTTCCTTTGAGTAAATCCTGATATATAAATACATAAATATGCTTGTACACAAATATGTAGCAACAGTTAGCAACTTACAGTTAGGTTGTTTTCCAGTTATCTTTTGCTAAGATTAGCTTTTAACCTGAAATGCTGTCTGATAGAAACAGATAGGGTACTCTCCTAGAACATAAGGGCTTATTTAACATAAAATATAGCTATGAAACTTTAGAGTAGACAGTGACCCCCATTTGCAACTTAAATTTTGAAAGAAAATAGGCTGAGTTCCAATGCAAGAAGTTAAGAATAGACCCATGGCATGAACTCCCCACCATTCCCACCCAATTCCCAGATCTTTCTGCAGATCTGCTCAACCTCCTTCCTTCCACTGATACCATCAGGAACTCTAGTGATAATTGCTGTCCAGCAGTGTGTTGTGAGTGCAGACTTCTGACTCTTCCAAGGGGCTCAAGGTCCAAAGAGGTGATCAAAACTTGACAAGGCCTAAGTTCAGCCATGGTGGCAGGTCCTATGAGCATTCATGATGATGCTGTGTAAAGGGCCTGGGTTTTGGGAGGATGGCAGCAGGTGTGAATGAAGGGTTTCAAAGTAGAACAACTGGAAAAAAGGGATGGGGTAGGGACAGAAACCTGTTTTCTCCCATCATTTTTGACACCTTGCAGAGGGTCCCCTTTGCTAAGATTTGTATTTGTTCAAGCCAACCGGGAGGTCACCGAAAAGGAGTTAACCCCTATGACCTCAATTTCTCTCATCCAGAAAGCAGCTTAGTCATTGGGCTTTTCCTCTGCCCCCACCAAGGTCAGTCATTTGCCACTTCATCATTAATTCCCTAGCAGTGATTTCCTCCTTACCACACTTTACATTCTGATAAGTTCTGATAAAGCACATGGGGTTTTGGGGAAATAATTTGTCTCTGGTCTCATTTCCTTTAAAATGTAGGTTATCTTCTTTGTCAGTCTTGAATTTGGGGTCAGTCTCTTTGTCTACTGAGAGGATCGCTTTCTGTAGACTTAACAATATGAATTTAATCTGCTAGTTTAGAGAGACCATCAAGAAAGGAAGAGCCTATACCTAGAGTTTTAGGCAAAAGTTACTTTGATAGAAGGATTAAAAAAAAATCCCTTTTAACCACAGAACTCCTCCATTGGAAAGGATTCTGAAAGAAATGAAGAAAACCATCAGAAATGCAATCGGTAGCTTCATGGCCTTCTGTTGACTGGACTAGACTTTTCTTACCGCTGTTCCTTGGAATGACACTGTACAGGATGTCTGCTGAGGTCATCCATCAGGTGGAAGAAGCACTTGATGAAGATGAGAAGGAGCTGCTGCTTTTTCTGTGCCGAGACGTTGCTGCAGATGTGGTTCCACTTAATGTCAGGGACCTTCTGGATGTTTTAAGCGAGAGAGGAAAGCTGTCTTCTGTGAGCTTGGCTGAGCTGCTTTACAGAGTAAGGCGGTTTGACTTGCTCAAGAGGGTCTTGAAGATGGACAGACCGACAGCGGAGGCCCTCCTGCACAGGCACCCACATCTTATTTCGGACTATAGGTAATTCATCAGCCCCTCCTGAGGCTGGACTGGTGGGAGGGAGGGAGGAGGTCTAGACTTCAGAATCACAGAAATGAGGACAGTAAGAAAAGCAGCCTCATTACTTCCTCTACCCACTGATCCTCTTGCCACATCGATGTTACTTCATTCCTCTGAACTCTGAATTCTTAGGACATGTCTGCTTAAAGTAATTGGGTAGAAGATCAGAATGAAAGTGGAAGGGTTGGATGGTATGTGTTTGCCTGAAGGGTAGAATGAGAGAGAGAGGAGTGACGAAGAGCTAGTACTCTTGCAGGCCTCTGTGAGATCTGCTGTGTTCTTTGCTAGCCTGTGATGTCAGAGCCTGGTAATTTCCGGTTACTGAGAAAGGAAATAACAAGCCTGACAGCAATCTTCCTGACCTTTGTAGAGCTCTGTGATCCTTCCTGAACCCCCTCCGGTCTTTCCCCTGCTGAGGAAATTAGTGGGGTGGGCTTGCTTTCTGTGAGGTCCCTGCTCCCGGAGGCTCTGGGGAGCCCAGATTGAACATTTCTTCAATTAACCATCTCTAGACCCCCTTTGGTTCAGGAGAGGAACGGCCACTGGAGTCCCCTCTAGTTCAGACAGCCTTTGAGTTGTTCCTCCTGTTCACATAATATTCTCTTGGAGGCTCAGAGGAGCACAGAAACCAGCCGAAAGGCTGTGTTTCTGGGGAAAGAAAGATAATTTGTAACCTTAAATCAGTGATTCCTTTTTCTCCAGACCACCAGCCTTTAGTTATATTGATAATACATATTTGGAGGGGACGTACATGATTAAAAACTATATTAAAGAGAGTTGCAAGCTGTGTGGCCCTTGGAACGTATATGAGATTTGAGGTCTAAAGTCCTGTTTGAAGCCTCAGAACTGTCAGTTACAAGCCACGTAGGCTGAGCCAGCCACTGACATCAGTTGGGCCTTCGTTTTTCTACTTGTGAAGCTAAAAATAATAATATCTGATTTCACAAGTGTGTTTGTGAGGATCGATTGTGATAATTTAGTATGTGAAGTACTTTTTAAAAATTATTATTATTTTAAATTATGTGAAGTACTTTATAAAACTGGGCAGCACTCTACAAATATAAGGGTTTATTATTGTTGTTGCTGTTATTCTTGATCATCTTCCACCTCTCCAACCATCATGATGTCATAATCTTCTTAAAACTTTTCGGCAGGCACTGACTGGGTTTTTGTGAATAAGTCAGGGGACTCTCTCCATCTCTTGTTTCCTTGCTGTGGTGAATGGAGGTGGTTCCTTTGGGCCTCTGAGTAGAGAGGCCCGGGAGTGCTAGATTCATTTATTCTTCTGTTGAGTGGGCTTTATTGTGGGTTGACTTACGCCAGGCGTTTGGTAAGCACTAAATCAAAATGAATGAAGACTCTTCCATCCTCAAGAATATTAGAGTCTAATTGGGAAAACAGGCTTCTAAGTAACGACGGCAATGTCAAGGTAATAATGACAATCATGAGGTGTCCCTGGGAGCCCTGATAAAGCATGGTGGTAACTCCAACTGGAACAGAGGTGGCTAAGTCAGAAGGGGCCTTCTAGACAGAGATATTTACAGTCACAATCCCCGGGATCTAGATGCCTTTTAACCTTTGAGTTCGGACGCGGGCCAATAGCCCAGGTGTTACTTTGCTTCACAATCTTGTGACTCAAAGTATTGTCCCTGGATTAGCAGCATCAGTATCACTGGGGGTTTGTTAAACAGAGAAGACAAGATCACTCTGAATTCTATTTACGTCTTTCGTCTTAGTCATTTAGGTTCTTCATTTATTTCATTATTACTTCTGGGGGAGCTAGGGGATTCTTTGGGGAAGTTTTTATTCTCTTTTTCTTTTCATAGCAGTTGTAAAAAGAGGTACCATCTCCTATTGAAAACTGGGGAAAGGATAAATTTGGTTTTTGACTTCCCTTAAGATCTCCTCCTGGGGTGATCTAAGCTTTCTGTTTTCTTGGGGGCGCATTCAAATGGGGGCAAGAATTAATCTTTTAACCAATTATTGGCATAGAGGAGGCCTAGGCTCTTGGTGTTCTCAGTAGGACTGATCTCTGAATTTACTAAAGAAACTTATCTGGTTTACAGGGTGCTGTTGATGGAAATTGGTGAGGGTTTGGATAAATCTGATGTGTCCTCATTAATATTCCTCATGAGAGATTATATGGGCCGAGGCAAGATAGCCAAGGATAAGGTGAGTTTTCTTTCTTTTTCTTCATTCATGTTCCCAAGAGCCTATCGGAAGTTGGAGGGGTGCTCTCTATGGTGTGAAGAGAGGGAAACAGGTACTTAAGCAGGGAGGACCAAGTCGGGGGTGAAGGTGGGAAGGGAGAAGAGTATGGGTTTTATTTTTCATAGTAACATTGATAGGAAGAAAATTGGTTCATATATTGAGAGGCAATAGAGTGATATCGGCTGGTGTGGCCCTGGGTGTTTCTTTCATCTTTGTATTTTATCCTTTATTTGTGTAAAATTCATAGGCCTGGCTTATACATCAGCTTCTCTCCCTGGTTTGACAGATCATCTGGGAGGGTTAGGGAGTCCCTTCTGCTCATGCTGAGTAGAAACAGGAGGAAATGCTGGTCCACTCCCATCTTGCTCTCTGACTGTCATCTATTTCTCCTCAGCGAGCTCAGGGTCTGTGTGGAGTCATTAGGCTGCAGGGTAGCTGGGCAGGGGTAGGTCCTTGAGACTGATGTACCCAGGGAATGGCAAAAGTACAGATTTGGGGTTGAAATGAGGTAGGGGTGAAGATCTTAGGGATGCTGTGACTGCTGGAAAAGTATATAAATTCCAGCTGGCCTTATATGGTACCTCTGACCTATGGACAGGCCAGGGAAAGCTCGGGTCTCTAGTATGTGACAGTATGTCCACCAAGGACCTGCTTCTGAGGACTCTGGTAAATCATTGCTTAAGAATTTCCTCATGTTCCTTAATGATTGTTGTTTCATTTCTGAAATTTGGAAATATAGGGTGGCTGTATGCCCCCACCATCAAATGCAAAATCGGAAGGAAGATGAAAAAATACAACTCCTTTTATGGTGTCCCCTAATCAACTTATTTCCCAATCATTTATGTAGATTTAATTAGCATTATTAATTTAAAAATAAAGATAGCACATTAGTAACCAAATGTTAAACAGAAAGGAAATAACACCAAAAGCAGTGCCTATTTCTGAAATATAGTTCTTTCACAATCCCTATGGTCCAGGGTGAATGAGTAGCAAAATACCCTAACCCTGTAATTTCGCCACCTCATGTCTGCTGTGTCAGAATAAGTTGGAATTTCCAGCATTGATTAAAATATTTTAGGGACTTCAAAACTGTATCATTAGAATTTTTCTAGTAAAAACGTTTCCCCAGCTACCTTCTCACTTCCTTTTTTCAGTAAAGCCCTCAGAGTTTTTCAGTATAACACCAGCCTGGCTTTTGGGAAGAGACTGAACTTCGGAGGATTTTATTTTCAGGCCTGCTCTCTCAATCCTTCATGACACAAATGGCCCATGTACCTATCCCCAACCTAGGTACAGGCTGGCCCCCCAAAGACTTACCTCTTTTCTGAGTAAATTCCAGGAGTGTAATTTGCTCATGGCTTTGGAGGGACTATAAAACAGAGAGGTCTGGTTTAGGATCACTGAAGGTCACTGAAAGGGCTCCTCTGGTCACATTTTCTTGCTCTAATAAATTACACAACCTGAGGTTTGCATATGAGGCCTAATAGTCAGCCCTACTGACATTTGTTTCTTGTTGGTGGTTCTCTTAGAGTTTCTTGGATCTTGTGATTGAATTGGAGAAGCTAAACCTGGTTGCTCCAGATCACTTGGATTTATTAGAAAAATGCCTAAGGAACATCCACAGAATAGACCTGAAGACAAAAATCCAGAAATACAAGCAGTCTGGTAAGTAGCATTTTGGCCTCTCTGTGGCCTAAGGAAGTATCTGTGCACAGTGTGTTTCATTGGTAGAGACCCATGTGTTGGACGAGTGGATGGAACAGAACCCGAAGGTCCACAGCTCCCACCAGCCTGTGGCTAGAGATCAGAACCCTTTGTATCCTCCATACCCCGCATCTGCTAACTTCATCACCCAGCACCCCTGACCACACAGTCTTGGCCCTCTGCAAAATGCCGCCAAGCAGTTCTTAACATTTTGGTCTTCAGGAAAGAGTCTGCACCCCCACTTTCTGTACTGGCTGGTGGCGCTGTGGGCACTCAGGGCTTTTGAATATATGCTGAGCCCTGCTGCCTTGCTCCAGAGTTTGGCCTGACTTGGGATGATATCCTATCGCTGGGGTCCTATAACTGCCCTGCATATGTCTCCAGTTGCACAAAACCTCCTCATGCAAAAGGGCATCTTTTCTGCTGAGAACCCCTCCTCCCATAAAGGGGACCAGCTCACCCTGGCCTTCTCTCTTATGGCACCCCTACCCGTTGTCTATTAGATTCACACTCAGCGTGGGCTCTGCTAGCAGTCTACTACCACCACAGGGCATGGCTGATACTCAGTGATCTACACACAGCCCTGCCCCCACCCCCGCAATGGTTGATTCAAGATCAAGAACAGGAGTAGAATTTTTAGTCTGTTCTTAATGACATTGATAGAAGAGTCATCTGATCTGATATTTTGAATTCAGTAAGGGGGCTGGAAAGTTTAGGATATTTTGAAAGATCATGATTGACCATGAACTGAGCCACTGTTGAAGATTCATTTGATGATAATTTGTAAATCTTAACTCAGAGCCTGTCTTCTGCTTGCAGCTCAAGGAGTGGAAACAAATTATGTAAATGCTCTCCAGGCATCTCTGCCAAACTTGAGTATTAAGGATCCTTCCTATAACCTAAGGGTGAGTCTGGAGCAAGTGTGTGGAATCCCAGCATGAAACAATTTAAGAACTTTGATAAAAATGTACATATTCTCCCAGCATGTACTTTGTTTAATATCTGAAAAAAATTGTGACAGAAATGTGCATTTGTTTTAAAATATGTATAAATTCTTATAATTTCAAAGCTAACATGTGTTCATTGAAATAATTTGGAAAATACAGAGAAATATATATAAAGGGAAGAAAATAAATCACCTCCATGTTAACAGTTATTCCCTTCTAGTCTTTTTGTTTTCCTGTGTGTGTATCTACATATACAAACATTTTTTTCATTGTTCACTTGTCCCTTTGAAAATTTAACTTCTTAAGTAAAAATAGGTAGGACATGCCCATGGACAAAGAATTCAAAATGTGCTAAAAGAATTTTTAAAGTATATTTCCTCTTACCCCAGTTCCTTTCCCCAGAGGCAGCTATTGTTAACCATTTTCTTCTATCCAAAGATAGTCTATACACATATCATATTTAATTTGTATTTTTTTCTTCTGTACAAATGCTAATACACTATGTCCACTTCCTGATCTGAGAATTCTTAGAAATTGTTTCGTATGAATCATACGGGACTGCCTTTATTTAATCATTGTTTTTAATGATGGAACATAGTTTCACTTTCTAGATGTATCAATATGTTTAGCCTTTTCTTGTATATGTGGACTTTTAGATTATCCCCGATCTTTTGTTATGAAACAATACTTCAAAATAAATAACCTTGTATTTACCTCTCTGTGCATTTGCTTTTCATTGAGCTTATTTTAATGATTTCAACAAACATGTTTTTGTTATTGGGTGATGTTACTGAGTGATTGATTTGTGACCATAAATAATATGTAGTCACTTCTGGTTGTTGTGTTAGTCGATGGTGTAAGGTTATCATCAGAATTGTGCTTTGGTTAATCTTTTATCTTGAGAAGTTAACCTTAGTGTAACCTCATCCTTATCCTAATTCCATATAAGGATATGTGGAATTTGTAGTCAGGACTTAGACCACAGTTTATAATCTGTGATTAAATCATAAGCACTTTCATAAAAGTGTGTGATGAACATATTGACTATACCTGTAATAAAAATAGTTTTGTGGAGAATATAATCTGTAAGAGATACCACTAAGCAATAGAATTTCAGAGCTCAGATGGATGGTAAGCATTATACTGTCCAACACCCTCATTAAATAAATAAGGACATTTAGGCCTAAGGAACATTAAGTGACTGCCCACTGCTACCTACCGCCAGATCTGGGCCAGTCCATACTCCTTTCTCTACACCATGGTGTATTTAATAAACTACATGGTATCAAGTCATAGCTTAGATATATCTGTCATGTTTTTCAAGAATTAAATATGCTTTTTTTTGTCCTTCTGAATCTCTATGATACCAAATCATGAGAGAAAACTGATTTAGAATTCAGATCCAGATTTTCTGGGCTTTCTCTGCTATTGTCTATCTAACATAAATTATACTGTCATTCTTAGTTAAAAGCCTGCCATATTTTTGTTATTGTCTTTCTATTTTGTTAATGCAAGTAATTGTATTCACTGTCCCTGTAGCCTATTAGGAACCCACATGCTCTGTGTGTAAATTTTTCTTTAAATTTGCCATATTAATCTGTGACCCTGATCATTCATTCATTTAGTTAGCAGGCACTGTGGCATATGGATTTGGTGAATTCCTCACAAGATTTGGGAACTGAATACCTGGATGTTAACTCATACAAGGCTGCAAAAGTGCTTTAAAAATTACGGTGGCATTAAATAACACATGATACCAACATACTATAGAATAAAGAAGTTGTGGGAATTCCTTGGCAGTCCAGTGGTTAGGACTCCGTGCTTGCACTGCAGAGGGCACGGGTTTGATCCCTGGTTGGGGAACTAAGATCCCTCAAGCCGCGCTGTGCAGCCAAAAAAAAAAAAGTTGTGACTCTGTAATATAATGCTTTTTATATTTATCTGCAATAAATCTAGCTTTGATTTCATGTTATATCTCTTTAATAGTATGTAAAAGTGAATGCACACCTATGTGGGGTTCCAAATTCTATCTAATATCATTATCCTCTGGCTAAGTCATTGGTTATTAGTGATAGAAGCAACTTATATGTTTTTCTTTCATTTGGATGCACAGACTTAGCTACAGACACAGCTTAATAAATAGTGTACTTCTCTCTTTTGGCTAGGATAGCTTCAGAGGAGAACTGTCATTTGAAAGCTGAGCGTATCAGATGGTTGACAGTGTGTGCTATGTGTACCTTACACAGGACCTGTCATCTGAGAAGAGAAAGGGTCTGTTCAATCTTTGATTCTCTGATTCATCCCATTCTGGCCCTCAGAAAGGGTAGCTAATTTTCAAGAACCACTCCCACACGTGGCTTTTGTGTAGCTAGGCATTATAGAAAAATAATAACTGGATATTTATTAAGCACTTCCGTGTGCTTAAAAGGCACTGTGCTGAGTGCTTTGTGTACATTTAATCTTCAAAAAAATTATCAGGTAAGTACTATTATTATCCTCATTTTGAAGATAAAGAAACGGACATATAGCTAAAGAACTTGCTCAAAGTTACATAGCTAGTAAGTGGCAGAATCCCACTCCCACTCTTAACCATACTGTACCTTGCCTCTGTGTTAAAGACCAGGTTGAATGTCAACTGCATGTTCCAGCAGCTTGTTCTAACTTGGAGCTATTGTAGCAACTCTCCTATACCATATTCTAAATGCTAGTTGAGCATATTTACACATTCATTTTATTTTCACTTTGAATTGCTGCTTTGGCCATAGAATATGGATTTATGGAGTTAATGGCTCTTGCTAGCCTTCTTTAGATAATTTAACAGTGAATGTGATATTTTTATTTTTTCCTGGGTAAGAATCCTATCGAGATATTTAAAGAGGTGTAATATAATGTCTCTGAAAAATGAACAGGGAGTGTGACCTTGTTTTTTATATTTGAAGTTCCAGAATGGGAGGAGTAAAGAACACAGACTCATGACGGGACAACCTGACATTCAGAGTAAGACCAGCTTTTCTTTATAGTCATTCTTTATGATTGATCGATAATTCAAGTACAGAATGTTGCATTTTTAGAGTTGCCTTTCTTTTATCTACATATTTTAAGTTCTCAAAATAAAATGTATTCATTGGCATTTCTAGTTATCCATCAAATTAGCTTATTTGAATTTAAACACCTCTTACTTCATCAGCTTCATCATCTTGACTATATTTTTTAAGAGATAATAACATTTATGCCTGAAACAGAACTGTAACCAGGCCATGTTAAACATTAATCTAGCCATGGTAATGAGCCATGTTGAACCAAATATCTAGCAGCAGGAAGAAGAACGGTTACTAGGATCTTGTTTTATAGCCCATTTAATAAATCTAGATACTGTACAGATGACATTCCCCACCCCTACAAAGAAAGGAAGAAAAAAAAAAACCACCTAGTCATTTCAACCATAAGATCTAAGGGATTTAAGATCCCTCTCGTCGCTCTTAAAACATCAGTACTTGATCCCATCATTTTCAAGAAGTGTATTTTTTTGCTTGTCTTGAGTCCTCCTTGAAGTGAGGGCTGAGACTCAGTCTCTTACTGTAGTACTTAAGAACTCCCGGAGGTGGGGCTGCATAGACAGGTAAGGAGGACTCAGGCTTCCCTGAGGAGCTTGGAATTTGTGTGCAGGGGCGATCCTGAAGGTAGAGAGCAGGGCAGTGGCCTGATGGAAACCTCCTCTATATGGCAACACCTCATGACTCAGCCGACATGCTGTCTGTGTGCACCTGCAAGCATTCTGCCCAGCTCAGCCAGATGGAGCAGCTCATGCCCAGCCTTTCCTATGGAAAAGTCAGCTCTCCAGCAAAAGCTGTTGAGGAGCAAATTAATTTCTGAGGTGACAGTATGTTTCTTAAAACACTGGTGAGGTGGTGAGGATTAGCTGTTTAAAATGGGAGACCTGGTAGATTTGGATAGGAATTTAAAATAATCAGTGTTTTTTCCATTGGGTTCCCTGATGACAGGTTTACCCTTGATGGTAATTAAACAGGTGAGGTAAGTGAGGCTCCCAACAGCCCTGCAGGTCCTTAGGAGAGCTAGTTGCCTGCTTTGGCCCGGATGTGGTTCATTTGCTAGTAAAAGAGAAAAGCATCCTGATAACTTGACCTTAATCTAATAGAAGTTTAAAATAATCAAGCCAAGTATTCATATTATTTTGGACTTCCAAATAGATTTCAATTGGTTGATGATGATAATAACTACAGTTTATTAAGCACTTTTAGTAAGTGCTAAGTGCCCTGAACTGAGATGGACATATTACATATATTATTTTGTGTGTTTTTTAAATTCTGTTAAGCCATGATTGCTAAAATACAAAAAGATAAAGTGAAATTTCCTCTTAATTCTGAGTATCAGACATAACTACTATTAATATTTGATCTGTGTACCTCTAGTAAGTATATGTAGGTATACGCACACAAACACATGTAAAATTTTTAAGTACGTTGGCTCCATATTATACATATTATTCAGTAATCTATTTTTCACTTAATACATCCTGCATATCTTTTCTTATCAAATACATAAAGATTTCTCATATCCTTTTTAACATTGCATAGTATTCCATTGTATGTATCATAGTTTATTTAACCAGTTTCATGTTGGTAGACTTCTAGTTTCTTTCTAGCTTAGGGCCATTACAAACAGTCCTTCAGTACATCTCCTTGACATTTTTGCACACGTGCTCTATTATTTCCTTAGGATAACTTCTAGAAGCAGAATGTTGGTTTAAAGGGTATTGCTAATTGTCCTTTAAAAAGACTGTTTCAGGGCTTCCCTGGTGGCGCAGTGGTTGAGAGTCCGCCTGCCGATGCAGGGGACATGGGTTCGTGCCCCGGTCCGGGAAGATCCCACATGCTGTGGAGCGGCTGGGCCCGTGAGCCATGGCCGCTGAGCCTGCGTGTGCGGAGCCTGTGCTCCGCGATGGGAGAGGCCACAGCAGTGAGAGTCCTGCGTACCGCAAAAAGAAAGAAAAAAAAAAAAAAGACTGTTTCAACTTATACAGCATCACCATTTGAAAGTATTCATTTCCCCCAAACCTTACCAAATATTGGCATTTTCTTTGCCTGTCTTTAGACATTATTTCTCATTTTTGCAGCAGTCATAAATTAGATGCTCATCTCAGAGATTAAAAAACAAAACAAGGCAAAACAAAACCCAACGCACCCTGAGACTTCAGAAACTTGCCCAAGGTCACAGGACTTGTTAGTGATGGTGCTAGGGTTTCAGCCAGCCCTTTATGGCTTCAAAACTGGTGGTTTCTCCACCTCCCTGGGACTAGTAAAGTCATTTTTTATCTACAGAGTTTGCTCTAGGTTCATCTATATTTGCTAAGCCCACTGTCCCCTATCTTACCATTGACATTTTATTTTGTGATCTCCCAATATCACTGGACTAAGAAAACATGGCCATCTGTTCTATAAGTGGCAAACCCACAAAAGCTTTCCCTTCTCTGTGTCTCTAAGGTTGCTCCCTTGAGGCACTGTGCACAATTTCAGCACATGCAGTAAAGCTATTGATATTGTTGGGTGGTTAGTTTATTAAATTCTCCCTATCAGGTTAAAACCTCACCGGTCACTGGGTCCTTACCTGGAGATGGGCAAGGGAGAGCCTTCTTTTACTTCTATTTAAGCAGTTTTTCTACATAACCCCTGTTTAGCATGGGGACTTGTGTTTTCTTATCAGTTAGGTTTTTCAGTGTGAGGTTAGAAGCTTGGGGCTGACTATAGCTGGGGAAAGAAAAGACAGTAGGGGGAAGAAAATAGGGAAAGAAAAATGGTGTGACATAAAGAAACGCAGCCCGCAGGAACTAGGATTAGGGCTAGTTCTCCTTCCGCTTTGTAAATGATTTCTCTCTCATCCCCCAGGAGAACCAGTGAAGACACCCATTCAGGAATCAGAAGCATTTTTACCTCAGGTACAGAATTAAATGATCTGATTTGGTATTGTATTGTAAGCACAGTATCTGTGGAGAACACTGATGGCTTTAAAAATATCTGTCCATTAAGAATTCTTTGTAACAATAGGATGCTGAGGGTGTGCTATTCTGAGAACTCTTCTGTTCTAAAGGGGAACCTTGGATGTAGCAAAGAGAAAGATGTTGAAGTGGATTGCATTAGTGAACTTTGCAGGAAAATTCCAAAGTGGCATTTCTCTTCTCAGCTGAGTGATTGCTGAATATATAAGTAAGCAGTGACACTGAACCTTGACTTGTTCTGACTTTTTCTACGCTGATACCTCTTCTCCATAATAGAAAGGCCTCCTTTTGTATTGGTTTGGAAAGATATCACTTGTACAATCTCAGGTTACTGTGGAAACATATGACCCATCTTTTCTCTGTGTTTTAAATTATCTTTATCCCACAAAGCTAAGACATGTGTAAAGAGACTGCAATTTTTATTAAAATTAAATAGAAACTGAAATAGCGTGTTGATATTGAAGGGAAATGCCAGTTCAGCCTGTGTCTATTGAGTGAGTCACCTGCCAAAAGGAAATTTAAGGAAATCCAAAAGAAAAGATCATATGGGTGGAACCTTGAGGAAAAGAACAATGTTTAGGGTCTTTAACAATCCCTGCTTTCCTTTCCAGCACGTGCTGGAAGAGAGATACAAGATGCAGAGCAAGCCCCTGGGAATCTGCCTGATAATTGATTGCATTGGCAATGACACAGGTAGGCGTGAATGCTCCAGATGAACTGATGCTCCCACAGTGAGATCACAGTGAGATCACGGCATACACAAGCTGTATTCATCGAGCGAGCCACACTAGCTACTGTAACAAACCGATGTCAAAATGTGGTTTCACACATGAAGGGTGGTTTCTCACTCATGTTGCAGTCTGGTGCGGGTGGTACTGTAGAGCTTTGTTCCATGTGCTCATGAGTGACGTCATCATCTGAGGGCTTTGAGTTTTCCTCAGGATCCTCTCTATCTGGCTGGTGGATGAAGGAAGTGAGTGGAAGATCTCACAAGAGACTTTAGGGACAGGCCTGAAAGTGATATGCATCATTTCCACCCTCATTCCTTTGGTTAGAACTCATGTGCCCCATCCAACCACAGTAGACAAGTTGTGTGTCAGGAAGAAAATGAAAGGAGGTTGGGGGAACACATAGCGTTGTCTCTGGCACAAAGGCAAACTTTGTGAAAGTTGGTGAACTTCAGTCTTGTCTTTCCATGCTGGATGCTGTGGCAGGGAGGAGTCCTGGGATCCGAAGGGGGGTTTAAAATGGAAAGTTTTCTGGGCTTCAGTATTATCAGATACCCCATCATTTCACCTAGATAGACTCTGAAAGCTTTTCTGGAGAACATTAAAAATAGGTTAAATTTGTGTTCACTTAGAGGCAATGTGTTCCTTAGTTCTGTCACCCTGGACTTTGGTTATTGGCCTTGAGTGTGTACTACCTGTGTGTCAACTTTGGATCTGAATCGATTCTTTTGCTCAGTTTTTGGATGTCTGATTCGAACTGAATTAGTCACTGATGATGCATCAAAAAAGAAGGAGAAGAGCCTAGATAAGTACAATAACATTCGGTTTAATTACTTATCTCTTTCTTTTCAAAAAAATTAATTAATTTATTTTAAATAAATAAATTTATTTATTTTTGGCTGCGTTGGGTTTTCGTTGCTGCACGCGGGCTTTCTCTAATTGCAGCGAGCAGGGGCTACTCTTGGTTGTGGTGCATGGGCTTCTCATGGCGGTGGCTTCTCTTGTTGAGGAGCACGGGCTCTAGGAGCGCAGGCTTCAGTAGTTGTGGCTCGCGGGCTCTAGAGCGCAGGCTCAGTAGCTGTGGATCACGGGCCCAATTGCTCTGCGGCATGTGGAATCCATCCGGACCAGGGCTTGAACCCGTGCCCCCCGGCACTGGCAGGCAGATTCTCAACCGCTGTGCCACCAGGGAAATCGTTATCTCTTTCTTGAAAGGATTGCTCGTTCTATTTCCACAGTTGTCCAGCTTCTCAATATTCTCTTAGAATGAGTCAGAACTGTCTTCTAGGCTCACTTAGAATGTTACCGTGGGGGGGGCTTCCCTGGTGGCACAGTGGTTGAGAGTCCGCCTGCCAATGCAGGAGACACGGGCTCGTGCCCCGGTCCGCGAAGATCGCACATGCCGCGGAGCGGCTGGGCCCGTGAGCCATGGCTGCTGAGCCTGCGCGTCTGGAGCCTGTGCTCCGCAACGGGAGAGGCCGCAGCAGTGAGAGGCCCGCGTAACGCAAAAAAGAAAAAGAATGTTACCATGGTGAGTTTTATGGGAAGAGAATCCAACAGAAGGTCAAATTAGCAAATATTAGGCTGAATTTCCCAGGATTTCAGGTATGATCTCACTTTCTCATGTCCTATATTTGGTTGGATGTGAGAAATGCTATCTCCTGAGCGAAAGATGTGTCCTTTACTTATTTATTTAATTTTATTTTTCTTAAATTGAGGTGTAGTTGATGTACAAGATGTGTTCTTTCTGTTTTAGCCATTAGTATTCACATAAGAATGAGAAAATACTTTCTCAGTGAGTAACTTCCTGCTTTAAAAGAGATTGTGTAATTGTCCTCCCCTTTTGGTTGTAATTAGTTCTGCTTTGTGCGTTAGCAGGAAGTTCCCGACTGGACTTGGTGCAGGATGTGTAGCTGTTGTATGAGGAGAATCACAAAGATAAAGCCATGACTTGTTGTGAATTTGTGGCTATAATCCACTGTCTGCTTCCCTTGCTGAGTTAGGGGCCTCTTTTAGGCAGGGACTGAGTGTATATTTGTATTTTTCTGTATTATAGGATTGAGATCAGAGTTGAGCCCTGGAATACGACTGTGTGGGTATGAATCATGGCTTTGCCATGGCCTAGCTTGTTACCTGTGGCAGTTTTTCTAGCCTCTCTGTAGCTCAGTTTTTCATCTGTAAAATGAGTTAATAACAGGACCCACCTCATAGGGAGGTTGGGAGGAGTGAATGAGTCCTACCTGTAAAGAACTTAGGGCAGTGCCTGACACACACACTGTAAGCACGTACTAAATGCCAGTTAATGTTATTTGTCCATTTTGTTTGTTTAATTTTAGTTGCAAACCACTGAGCTAGAACTTGCCATGGCTTTGTGCTTGGTACATGGAGCCTGACCCAGACAAGTGAGGGACCAGAGAGCTGGAGTCCTGAGGCCTGCTCTGGGCTCATGGGGGAGTGGGGCAGGTCCCCATAGCCTGGGGCTAACTGGAATAGAAGGGGTAACCCCAAGAGGGGGTAACTTTTGGGGACATACGCAGGTGGATAGCTGGGGGGACTACTACTAGTCATGGTATGAGCGGGCATGACAGAGAAAGAGAATCTGAACGCAAACGCCAGGGGGAGGGAGGGCAGAGAGTGGCAAGGCCTGATGGGAGAGAAAAATGGAAAGGAGAGTAGAATCAGAATCTCTAGGAGCTGGAGCAGGGGCATCTTTGATGAGGTAAGAACAGGTATTGGCCTGAGGTGCATTTGTACATCTGCTTCCTTGACTCAAGCTCTCCCAATGCAAATAACTGGGCTTGAGGTCACATCTAGATGATTGTCTAGATGATTCGTCTAGACAATTCGTCTAGACACCAGTTCGTCTAGATGATTCTGTGGGGGTTCCTTTGTCTCTTCCCTAGTTAACTTTCTCACTTGGTTAACGCTGAACATTTGGGAGGAGTGCAGGAGTCTGGCAATAAACATTATTACTAGAAATGAGGGCTCTCACTTCTTGTAATAAATCTCTTATACATATCACTGTATTATCTTATTGGTTCTTTTCTCTGGAGAACCCCGACTAATACAAGTTTTTGTGTGGACATATATTTTCAATTCTCCTGAGTGGGATTGCTGGTAAATACCACTCCCCTCACCACCTTTTTTTAAAACTGTCTCAAATTCTCTTCCTCTTCACAGCTTCTTGCCCAGGTTCACTTCAGCAGCCCACTAATTGTTCTCTCTTCCTAAGGATCTAACTCTCTCAAACCCATTAAAAAAAAAAAAAAGAAAGAAAGAAACTAACAGTAATATGGTAAGACTAACTTGAGGGTGGTAGTGATCAGGGTGTAAAATTTTTTTTTTTTTGCTGTGTTGGGTCTTCGTTGCTGCGCGCGGGCTTTCTCTAGTTGTGGTGAGTGCGGGCTACTCTTCGTTGCGGCGTGTGGGCTTCTCATTGTGGTGGCTTCTCTTGTTGTGGAGCACGGACTCTAGGGTACGCCGTCTTCAGTAGTTGTGGTGCTCGGGTTCAGTAGTTGTAGCTCTCGGGCTCTAGAGCGCAGGCTCAGTAGTTGTGGCGCACGGGTTTAGTTGCTCCACAGCATGTGGGATCTTCCCGGACCAGGGATCAAACCCATGTCCCTTGCATTGACAGGCAGATTCTTAACCATTGTGCCACCAGGGAAGTCCCAGGGTGTAAAATTTATTAAAAATATACTATGTGTCAGGTGCTTTGCTGATTCCTTTACAGGGATTCTCACTTAATTTTCATAAATATTACTGCAAGATAGGTACTATTATCCCCATTTTCAAGGTGAGCAAGTAGAGCACAATAAACTTCCTTTCTAACTTCTCTAGTTAAGTAATAGAGCTGGGATTTGAACGCTTGACTGCAAAGCCTCTGCTTTTAGCTACTTTGCTGTAAGTTCCATGCGGGTGGGGAGCTTTTCCTATGTGTCTCCAGAACCTGGAACCATGCCTGGTACGAGGGAGCTCAGTAAATATTTGTTGGGTGAATGAATGAAGGAGTAAGCTCTACTGGTCTTGGTGTGTTTCTAAAACCATTCCTTTGTACCTGTAGAATTTGGAAGACTCTCTTATACCTATCTTTTCCTGTCCTCAAAAAAAAAAAAAATCAGACTTTTATCCAGAATATGTAATTTCCGCAAACCTTTATAGGTTTATACTTCCTTTATCCCATAAATGTTTATTGCACCCCTGCTATTGCAGAACACCATGCTTGGGACTTCCCTGGTTGCCCAGTGGTAAAGAATCCGCCTTCCAATGCAGGGGTTGTGGGTTTGATCCCTGGTCGGGGAACTAAGAAAAACAAATACTGTATGCTAACACATATATATGGAATCTAAAAAAAAAAATACATGGTTCTGAAGAACCTAGGGGCAGGACAGGAATAAAGACGCAGACGTAGAGAATGGACTTGAGGACGTAGGGAGGGGGAAGGGTAAGCTGGGACTAAGTGAGAGAATAGCATTGACATATATACACTACCAAATGTAAAATAGCTAGCTAGTGGGAAGCAGCCACATAGCACAGGGAGATCAGCTTGGTGCTCTGAGACCACCTAGAGGGGTGGGATAGGGAGGGTGGGAGGGAGACACAAGAGGGAGGGGATATAGGGATATATGTATACGTATAGCTGATTCACTTTGTTATACAGCAGAAACTAACACAAAAATGTAAAGCAATTATACTCCAATAAAGATGTTAAAAAAATCATTTAAATATAAAAAGCAGTGAATGGTATGGTTGATACACCAAATCATGTTACTGCAGTAAAAGATAAGTTTGGTAGAGTACTGAAGCAAAAAGAAATAAGTTCATATTAAAGTTTGGACACATTAATTATTCAAATTAAAAACAAAAACACCCCACCATGCTTGGCCCTTGTGAAGCAGGTATGGAGGCCATGAAGTAGAGTCTGGCCTCAGAGCCACATTGTGAACAAAGATAAGGTTATTGTTTGGT